CGACCAAATCTTGATAGCTGAAAGTTCCTGTCTTCGATCCATTTTCAGTTGTTTCGGACATAGACAACAGCAGGATTGAAGCCATGTTTGAGCTCGAAAGGACGCTTGAGAAGCAGTCCCTGCAGGTGAGTGAACTTGAGGGCATGCCCTTTGAAAATCCAAGAGAAATATGATCTAAATGCACCTCTTTTATATACAACTTTGATATCTTATTGACTTTCACATTTATGATTACAAGGATTATATACACTTTGAATCAGTTTGAATCAACTAGAATTAAGGCAAATAGAGAGCATATAGTTAGGGATTTGATATAGTATAATATTTATAATATCTAGAAGATATCCTTCCTTTATGCCCCGTAAGATGAGGCTCGTGTGCGAGGCTCATCTTGATCTGTAATAGATCGAACCGCATTCGAGATAGTGGCTTCGTTAAAGCATCAGCCAATTGGTCTTGGGAGGAGACGTGTGATACACGTAATTGGCCGTCTTGAACTAAGCTTCAGATGAAATGGTAGTCGATTGCGATGTGTTTCATACGAGAATGAAAAACGGGATTAGCACATAAATATGTAGCTTCAACGTTGTCACAATAGATTACCGATGATGAAGATGCCATCATGCTGAGCTCCGATAGTAGGGAGGATAGCCACCGGACTTCGGAAGCGGTTGAGGCAACGGATTTGTACTCGGATTCCGTTGACAATCGAGCGGCAATACGTTGTTTCTTTGAGGACCATGAGATTGGATGGATACCAAAGTAAACAACATGGGCACTTGTTGACATAAAATCATCCCGATTGCCTTCCCAATCGACATTCGAGAAGGCATGTAATGATGGGGAGTACTTTTTGGTGGACATGAAGACGCCAATAGAGGAAGAGTCGGCTAGGTAACGCAACACTCGTTTCATGGCTTGCCAATATTCGGTTGTCGGTCGGCGCATGAATTGAGACAACTTCTTGACGGCATAAGCGGTGTCGGGTCATGTGAAATGTAGGTATTGGAGACTACCAACCACGTTCCGATACTCCGTAGGATCATCCAATGGTGAACCCATGGCTAATGTCAAAGAGCTTGTAGATGCCATTGGTGTAGAAACGGGCTTGCATGAAAGCATATTGGTACGAGTGAAGAGATCGACGATGTACCGTTTTTGCGTGAGATAAATCCCATTAGCCGACCGGTTGACCTCAACTCCAAGGAAGAAGGATAGGTCGCTCAAGTCCTTGATGGAAAAACATTCGGATAGTAGGTGAATGAACTCTTGGCACCGTCGATGGTCATTGCCGGTGATGACAAGATCATCAACATAGACCAAGATGTAGATGATCACTTCGGCTTGACGGAGAATAAATAATGATATATCGGCCATTGAGTTGATGAATCCCAATGATAATAAGAATAGCTGGAGTTCATTATACCATGTCCTCAGAGCTTGTTTCAAACAGTAAAGTTTCTTGTGAAGCTTACAAACATGAGTAGGCCATCTTTGTCAACAAAGCCCAGAGGTTGTGTCATGAACACATCATCATATAGCCGGCCTTGGAAGAAGGCGTTGTTAACATCAAGTTGTCTTAGAGGCCATCCTCATGTAGTGGCAATGCTCAATACGAGGCGTATGGTCGTCGGTTTAATCACCAGACTGAAGGTGTCGTGATAGTCGATTCCGAGCCTTTGATGAAAACCCTTTGCTACGAGCCGAGCTTTGCACCTGTCAAAGGAACCATCAGTATGTCGTTTAGTACCATTTACAGCCAACAATATTGTAGGAAGAATGTGATGGAACTAAGTCTCAGGTCTCATTCTTCACAAGTGCATCAAACTCCTCAGTGATTGCTTGTCTCCATTGCGGTGACTTGGATGATGAAGAAGACAATGGAGAGAAAAGAGAGTGATAGTTTTATTCAAAACCTCACTCGAGGGGTGTCCTAACCTAGAATGCCACTCGTTAAGAGTGGTTTTTATTGAAGAAAAGATAGAAGGAGATGAAGACGAATGAGATTTAGTGTCGGTCGGCCACTCATACACTCCATTATTAAGCAATCCGGTTGTGAGTTGTGCCCCCGTTGCGAGATCCTTCACCTGAAAGTACAGAGGGAAAAATTCCACCGATACCTTGTTAGATACACAAAGTTGGTGTATAGAGATAATGTTTTTATAAAGAGAGGGTACACAAAGAACGTTATTGAGTTTAAAAGGATGAGTATGAGATGGGAAGATAAAGAACCGGTGTGGGTGATTGAATGTTCTGAACCGTCCGGTGTATGGAGAATGAAGCGAGAGGTTGCCGATGTCGGATATAATGTGGTGAGATGCCCCGGAATCCAGCAGCCACGTCGGGGATGAAGTGTGAGGTGAGATCACTGTGTTGTGAGCTCGTAAAGGAATTGCCTTGCACCGGAGAGGGGAGAATGCCAGCCGAGGAGCGGAGGAGATGGTAAGTTTTGGCGCTATGGCCTTGAGTGCTACAAAGCTGACATTTTCTGAGGTAGGGTCGGCGTTGGCGAGGGCCATTGGTGTCCGAGTTATGTTTCGGAGTTGATTGCCATGAGGGATGTCGGTTGTTGCCATGGTAGCGTGCCTGCATGGTATTGGCAGTGATTGACATAAAAGAGGCAGTCATGTCTGAGGCATGAAGATCGGATTCGTGATTGAAAAGTTTCTTCTGTAGCTCGACGAAAGAGATAGACAAGTCTCGAGCATTGATGGCATCTTTTTACGGGTTTGAATTCTTCTCCCAATCCTCCAAGCACAAGATCAACAAGATCTCTGTGATCAAGTGGTTTGTCAAGAAGAGCTAATTCATCGCCTTTAACCTTGAAAAAGTGCATGTAGTCCTCGATGGATTTGTTGCCCTTGACAAACCGGCGCATGTTCTCCTTGATTTGCTTAATGTGGCCTCTAATTGATCGGGCAATATAGCAAAAATACCTTTAATTTGCTACAAAGACTTCATGGTATACCTTTCAAAACCCTAAAATTTTGAAAAAAAAAATAAAAGGAACAAAAGACATAATTAACCCTCTCACAAAAGTAACGTGATACTCCTCTCTTCATTTTGAATTCATCTCTCTCGTTTTCATTCTTTGACAACTCTTCATTTCTTTCTTAACTTTCTCTCTCCACTCTTATCTTTCTCTCAACTCTTCCATTTTCTCCCTTCTCATTTCATTTTTAAACATAGAAACACAAACGAAAAATGATTATTTCGTTGAGCATATCTTCACCGACGACCTCATATCTTCTTCTTGAGTCGGTCTAAGACAGAACAAATGACAAGAACTGAAGGTAAGTTCATTAATACAAGAGATTGGTTCGATACATAAACTTTGTGTTTTGGGTTTGAGTTTTATGATTGTTAGAGTGAATCGTGTGGTTTTTTTTATGAAAATGAGATAGATGCATAGCAAATCTGTCGAAGAATATGCAAGAGGCGCATATTTAATTTCAAATAAATGTTCGAAACGATAATGGAACGGATTGATAACGAAAACAAATGTACGTCATATTGGTTACACCGTTTAAAATTTAATTTTGGTCACACTGGTCACACTAGTCACCCTGGTCACACCATTCAAAATTTAGTTTTGGTCACACTAGTCATATTGGTCACACTGGTCACACTAGTCACATTGGTCACACTGGTCACACTAGTCACATTGGTCACACTGTTCACACCGTTCAAATTTTAGTTTTGGTCACACTAGTCATATTGGTCACACTGGTCATACTAGTCACTTGGTCACACTAGTCATACTGGTCACACCGGTCACATCGAAAATTTTTAAAATTCACGCGAAAATATTTATTTTTTTGTGATGGAGGGAGTTTTAAAAATTTTAAAATATTTAAATTTTTTCCTAGAAAATCTAAAACTGCTTATCTCTTTCTCTTCTCATTAATGTCTCTGTTATTGGAACCCACGCCAATGGGTATTTTGGGAATAACATAATTATAAAGGTATGTTTTGAAGTAGTTTTATTTTTTATTTTTGAAGGGGTATGATGTGAAGTCTTTGTAGCATAATATGAGTATTTTTGATAAAACCCCAATTGATCGCCCGTAGGTGGAGGCAAGAGTTGTCCATGCCTCACCGGTAGACAACAAGGCTGAGTGGACTCTACCTAACAGTTGGAGAAGCCATGGCTGACGTTTCATCGACATGGAAAGCACATGCCAAGGCATGAAAACCTGCCATTTTCCACCCATGAGCGGTCCTTTTTTTGGCTAAGGAAAAAGGTGGAAGTAACTAGAAGAGCAGACAGATTAGCGGTTTTTGGACATAAGAGAATGTACATATGTATCAGCTTATATATAAGCTTTCTACTTTCTCAATAACTGAGGGCTGCAGAATAAATGTATTTCATTTCAACCTCTTAAAACATATGGATATTCAAAAACAAAAAACAGAAGAAAAACAATTCTTATGGACATAAAATATCAACCCATGCCGTCAAAATCCCAAGTAGATGATCACTAATCTGGAAAAAGGGACCATTTTTGTTCAAGTTTTTATCAAAATTATGGTTATTTCTAAAGCCAAAATTGGATCTTTTTTTTTTTGAATTCTTGGCCAATATGATGAAGCTACTTATGAATTGGACATTTTGATTTGGCAGCCACTGGGGATTACCAGCTAGGACTGAAGCCCCTCCCTTTCTCTCTCTCTCTCGCTCTCTCTCTCTGTATAGGGTGAAGTAGAGACTCTGCAATTCCGGTTATGGTGTCGGTTTTGGTGTAATTTATTTCGAATTTAGGTTTCTGGGTTCCAAAAATAGATTTTTTTTTTGGCGGGTTTGACCCGACACGAGATGAAAATTGTATGCAGACATGGTCGTAGCCAATAAACTCTATAATTAGACGAAGCGAACTATTCTTCAGCCTGTCGCCTAGAAAGGCTCTGAACTCTGGCTCGAACTCTACAGTGATGCACCCCTAGCTATTTATGGAGGATCTAAGCCATGCGCCCCTTGACATATTACTGTTCATATCTTTTGTGCGTTTAGATCGTGAATTTTCTTTCCTGAAATCTGCGGAAATGGGAGTGGACAGAGAGGAGAGGAGGAGGAGAATAATGGAACGAGGTTCGGATCGTTTGGCTATGATCACTGGCCAGTTGCATAACCTTGATCCTTCATCTCCGTCATCATCATCGTGGGCTTCTCATCAGCGTGCGTACAGTGAATCGTTCATGCCGCAGATGTCATCTGATGATCATCTGACTCCAGAAATCTTAGCTCCCAGTTATCAAATCCAGGGTACAAATCCCATTGCTTTCCAAATCTTGATTTACAATGTTCTCTTATGGGTTCTTCCTCAAGATCTGATTGTGTGTGTGTATATATATATCATCTGCAAATCCAGATGATACGTACAGTTATGTTCTTCGATCATGGCATTTGCTGAATACTCATATCTTGTCTTCTCCCAACGAGAAACCCTAATAGTCTTGAGCATGAGGGAACGAATCTGATCTATGATCAGATAGTCTTGAACATATCTGACCACTACTTTTGTTTTTTTATTGTTAATCAGTATCACTTGATTTAAAGAACATAACTATATCACTAGATTACAGTTGAACACGGTGAAATTGATCATCGATCCGAAAACAGATCTTGTCTTGTCCCAACTAGAAACCCTAATGATCTTAAACATGAGGGAACAAATCTGGTCTATGAATCTATGATCGTGACAACGATCTTGAACATTTCAGACAACTAATCTTTTGTTAGTATCACTTTGATTTAGTTTAAGGTTGTCTGTTTTCGGATGGATGGTCATTTGCAGAGGAAAAGACAGCAAGAGAAGAAGCAAAACTGTCATCGTCTCGTCCATTTCCACGGAAACCCGCAAAACCTGCAGAGCCAACAAGACCAGAAACAAGACAAAGGCCTCGGACAGGTTTCTTCAGCTCCAAGAAACTAAACTCGAGCATCATAAACTCGGAAAGAACCCGCAGTCTGAGCTCTCTCATCATAGCTTCGCTCGTCGTGTTACTGCCAAGGCTACGTATCGTGAGTTCGGACAGCATCTCAGCCATGAGACCACTCTACGTGCTGTTGCTCACAGACTGTGCGATAGTTCTGAACCATCTGTTAATGGAAGGTTCCAAAGGGTCGGGGCGGGAGACGGGAGAAGGCGGAGAAGATGGTTCCGGAAGCGGGGGAGGGGAAACGTGGGAAGGAGCGGAGAAGCTTCTAGAGAGAAGTCTGGTAGTGTACCAAGCTTTCCGTGGAGTGTTCATAGATTGCAGTCTTTACATGGTTGTTGTCATTTGTGGTCTCTCTATTCTCTAGATATTTCTCTCCTTTTTTTTTTCTCTAGATAAATTCTCCTATAAGATGCATCAATTTTGTTAAAAATTTAATATTAATACACGAAATTTTTTTTTAAGAGAACAAACGAATTTTTCTTGAGTGAAAATCATTAATTCTAAAAAAAACTCCCAGCTATTTCACTCTGTTTCTTATTTCACGTGTAGTTTCTGGAAAATCTTTGTAAAAGTTAGTGTATCATTCATTATTTTAACTCAAAGTTGAGAAAAAATTGCGTAATTTTTTGTGAATTTTAAAATAAGCAATCTCCCTTTTTTTCTATGTAAAATCTTATATAAATACCCGAATTTATTAATAATTTATACGTTAATACATGTGAGACCGTTTGTTTTATCTAAAATCACTAATGAAATAGAAATTATTAAAAACAAAAAAAAAACTTGAAAGATAGGCCTTGAACACGTACAAAGAATGAAGTCCTAGTCCGGCGGCCGAAGCTCTCCCCGATCACACAATTTCGAGAAAATGACGACAACAAACAACAAAGGCTCTGCATCCCGGGGGAAACCCCTAGAGTTGGTAAGGAGCATGGTCAACATATCGAGAGGTTAGGGGTTCGACTCCTTACCCGTTCACCTATCGCCTGTCAGTTACGGCTGATTTATCTCTCACGCATGTGTTGCAGGCTCGTGCGTGTGGGCTTGGGTTTACTCGGTCAGCGCGCCCGAAAGGTAGCAGTCGGGGTTCCCCATGTATCAAAAAAAAAAGGCTCCGCATCCCGGTTATTGGTATGAAAAACCCAACCAAAGATAACCGAATAATATTTACATAGTGTTATCTTGATCAAATCGATTTGAAAATCGATTGAGAGTAATTTTTTAAAATCAAATAATGTGAATTTGAATCAAAATAAATATAGTATAAAATAATTGAACAAGAAATTTTTTTCCATAAAATATATAAACTTTTTATTGAAAACTAAATCTAAACCGAACCGAATATAAAAAAATCGAAAATTGAAATGTCTACCTCTAACAAACATTAATTACAAATTCAATAAGAGAACATTATTTTTATAATGATCTCATAGCTAGTAGGATTTTCAAGTAAAATTCCGGTTAGAGTTTTTTTTTCCTTTTTTTTTAAATATCGGATTTCTATACATAACAAAATTGTTTTTGGTGTTTTTTTATCGTCAAATAATAAAAGATATATAATATATATATACAAACAGATTTTGGAAATAATAATAAAAATACTATCTGTAACAGATATTATGCATATTTGTATTATAACAAGATATATATGGACACTCGTGTATATCTTCTGGTTCAGGATAATCTTGTGGGAAATTATACACCGAACGATATATGTCATATTTGGACCGACTATATAAAGAAACCGACTTCTAGATTCATGTGTCCCCTATCTTTTTTGTTGTTGTTGTTGTTATTATAATAAGGTTGGCTAGCTTTAGATTCATGATGCGGCGATGACAATATAAAATACATATACTATAATAAGATAGAATCATTACCATCCATCCATACAAACGTCCTTTGATTCTATCTCCTTTGGTCACCACAGAATCTTCTATACAAGAATCTTCCACAGAGAGAGAGAGAGAGAGAGAGAGAGAGAGAGAGAGAGAGAGATGTGTTACACAAGTAGTGACACGCATCCTCGTGCTCTTGAGGGCTTCGACGAAGCTGCTCCGGCGGCGGCGGCGGCTGTGGCGGCGGAGGCGGAGTTCAGCCACCGTGGAAATGGCGGCGGCGGCGATGACAGGAAGAGGTGCGTGTGTTCACCGTCGAAGCATCCGGGTTCGTTCAGGTGTAGGTACCACCGACACGAATATACATGGCTTCGCCGTTAAATCCCAAACATGTGGTTTTCTCTTACTTGTAGTATTGGTATATAATAAAGTTTCTTTCTTTTTTTTTGTTGTAATCTTAATCAGATTAAGTCTCGTGTTTCTTACTTTATAAAATATAAAGTTTCTTTCTTATTTTATCGTCAAAATGCATGTATATATTAACATAGAACAGTAAAAACAAAAACCTACAAAGGATAAAAAATAAAAATAAAAATAGCCACATACGTATCAATGAGTAACTTAAGTTTCTACATATGAGAAAACTATCTCGCGGTTCGCCCATATGATCATTTGAACATTCTAGGTTATATATATATATATATATAATGATTAGTGATGGCAAAATAAATCAGGATCACGAACCAGTTTACAGTTGGCTCGTTTTTTTATTGAGCTGAGCTGGAAAATAAAAGACCAAATAAAAACGGGTTGAACGAGTCGGCTCGCAGCGAGTCTGAGTCTATCTGGACTAGTTCGGTCAGTTCACGAACTGGTATTAAAAAATATTAGGTTTTATACTTTAATTCTTTCACTTCTTCCATTTATACAATAAATTAGAATTTATGATATGTTGATGTTTTTTGTTATATTTTAATGTTGTTGGTGTATGACACTTTTTATATTGTTTTGATGACGTGAGATTACATTTTTTTTTATTTTTTATTTAGATATGGTTTTATAGATTGTTATGTTAAATATTTTATGTTATATTGAATGATTTCAAATTATTATTGTTATTATGTAGATTTCAAATTATTAATTTTTATATAATTTTAATTTTTTTTAGATAATTAGATAAAAACGGGTTGGTTCGTAAGCCAGTTCAGAATTCGGACAATTTGGTTTGGGTCAGAGTTTTTTAACTTGTAAAAAAATGGACTGAACGGAATGAAGAAAAAATGAGATGATTCGATGAATCAGTCCAAACCAACCGTTTTACATCACTAATAGAATCTTGCCAACCCAAAAAACCAATCATAAGATTTTTAATTGTCCAACAAACCATCTCTAGTCCACGCCAAAATATATAAAACGTGAAATTTAAAATTTAAAGATCTCTAGTGTATATATACACACACATACACGAATTATGGGGCCGTGTTGTTAAATAAACTACCTTGTATTCACATACATGGTCGCTTGGATTTAGACAGGACAACTTTAGCGAGAAATGGTATGTGCATCGTATTTACCAAAATGCCACATGCCTACGTTGCAATGATATAATTGTCGTTAGATTATAGATTCTGCGACTCAAGATTGTTTTAATTTATTATTAATATTATACTATAAATTCAAACAATTTCCATTTCATCTTTATATTTCTAAATTAATATATAGGCGACTTAGTATCCAAAAAAAATAAGAATATGGTAACCGATCCAAAATTCTAAAATTCGAGTCAGATTTAAAATCGGATATATCTAAATAAATAAAATGATGTCAATATCAGAGCGTTCTAAACTCGCAAGTATTGTCTTGAATTGCTTTCTGATACAGGTCTTCTTGGATGCAAGCCTGTTTTGGTACCTATGGATCCTAATGTCAAGTTGAGCAATGATTCTGGTGCTGTTCTGAGTGATCCTACAATTTTTCGGGCACTCATTGGTCGTCTGTTATATTTGACTATAACACGCCCAGATATCACATATTCGGTTTACAAACTTAGCCAGTACATGGCTCAGCCTACTGATGAACACTTGCGAGCGGCTCAACGCATTGTTCGTTATCTCAAATCAGATCCTGGACAGGGTTTGTTTTACTCGACAGATTTTGATTTGCATTTAAAAGCGTTTGCAGATGCTGATTGGGCGCAATGTGCAAACTACCGTTTCTCGTAGCAGCACAGAGGCAGAATACCGGGCTTTAGCAAATACGACCTGTGAATTGATTTGGCTGGATAATTTGGTTCAGCATTTTCAGGTTCCGATTACTCGTCCCGCAAATCTGTATTGTGATAATCAGTCGGCTCTTTACATTGCTTCGAATCAGGTGTTTCATGAGAGAACTAAACACATCGAATTGGATTGTCATTTGGTTCGGGACAAGCTGAAGGAAGGGTTTATTCGAACGATGCATGTGAAGAGTTCTCATCAGCTTGGTGACATTTTCACTAAAGCTTTGCAGCCGCCTCTGTTTCATGCTCTTTTACAGAAGCTTAATGTTTCAAGTTTATATTGTTCTGACAAATATAAACTTGAGAGGGGGATATTAGATACAAAGGAAACCTTTTGTAAGGGAAATGAGCCGGTGGAAAATTAGTTGCACGGTTACGCGATATTTGTAGATATATAAAGGATACTGGTATTATTGAAAGGAATATACAGAAAATTATCCCAAAACTCTGTTTTCACTTTCTCTCTCTATATTTTTCTCTCCTATTTTCTCTCGCTTTCGCTTTCCTGAGCTTTCTCGATCAGATTGACAAAGCTAATAATTCCACTCCTCAAATCGATCCTTTTTGTCTTAATCGCCTTGGGATAAGACACCCAGAGTTCGAGCTTTGCTGGATATGGCGTTGGATTCTCGACCGAATCTATGCCCCTGTTGGTGTTGTAGGAGGAAAATTGAAGCCCTTGAAACAGCCCAAGAGCGGCAAGAAAGAATACGATGAGGTCCGCGAATCTCTTACTCAAACTCAGTGATTACCTTTTTATCGACCTCGAGCTTCTTTGATGTTTTCATCTTTTACAAAAAAAAAACTCTTTTGGGAGTCTGTTGATGCACTGTATGACTATCTTATGAAGTTCCTTTTGTTTATTGAACTATGAGGTATCAATGTTTGATCATATATCCAATTGTTCCTCTGTATGGTTTCCTTTTGCTCAATATGATCGACACAATATCTCGTTTGCAGCATGATCTAGAGAACCTTCAGAAGAAGAAGGAAGAAGACAAGGCAACTCGTGGTCTGACTTAACATCTGTTTGCTTGATTGAAAAATCGTTTGTTCCTTGATGATCTCGTGGTCACGATGAGAACAGGCACTGAAAGAGCTGAGGGCCAAGGCGGCAAAGGGAGCAATCGGAGTCGGAGGAGCCGGTCTGAAGAAGAGTGGAAAGAAATGAAAAGCCGATCCATGCCCTCTTCATCTTTTGTAGAAAACATTTGGTCTGTGCCCTCAAGTTACACCTTTTATCCTATCCCTCCTTGTTGTTGGATGCTTATGTTACAGCTCTTGATTTGTGATTGTTCATGCAATTACATTTGATTAACCATCAATGCCATGATATTTGATTTTCGTGATTAATTCATAACCCTTGATTGAATTTCTGTTGCAGTTACCAATTTAAGAGTCTTGTGAATGGTTTCAGATCAAAGTTATATCCATCTTTTACTCGGGCATGACACGGATTTCACCAAATCCTCCAACTTTGCTGGAAACTAAAGACGAGAGAGTTTTTTTGGACCAAAGCTTTCAAAGGCAAACTGAAATCTTCTGCTGGGTTTCACCCTTTGATTACATCTCTATTACATTGAAGTTTGGAACTTTGGAGTCAAATACGGCAACTTCAACCACAATCAGCAAGCATCTCCTCGACCAAACTCTTGGATCCTGTCAGTCATCCCGAATGCTAAGCTCCCCCATTGCAGTATCCAGCCCAGAACTCATCTCAACCAGAACATGTGGATCGTTGTAATGACGAACAGCCTGAACAATGGATCTCAGTTTCTTGAATGGATCAGGCCCATCAAAAATCTCCGAGCCGACAAAAATCCCGTCGCAACCGAGCTGCATCATCATGGCTGCATCAGCCGGAATCGTGATCCCTCCCGACGCAAACTGTACCACGGGAAGTCTCCCCATCTGCTTGGTCTGAACCACGAGATCGTACGGTGCAGATATGTTCTTGGCGAAGGTGAACACTTCATCTTCATCCATGTTGTTTAGCATTCTGACGTCACCCATCAATGTCCTAACGTTCCTCACAGTCTCTGAAATGTTACCTGCAGGCGTTACCTCTCCTTGGACTCTGATCATGGCGGCTCCTTCTCGGATCCGACGAAGAGCTTCGCCCAGATTCCGACAGCCGCAGATGAAAGGGGACCGGAAGTTGTGTTTGTTGATGAAGTTGTCCTCGTCGGCGATGGCCAGGATCTCGCTCTCGTCGATGTAATCGACGGCCAGAGATTCCAGGATCTGGGCCTCGACGAAGTGACCGACACGTGCACGCCCCATCACGGGTACGGACACGGCGCGTTTCACCTCCTTGACGAGACCCGGATCCGGCATCCGGCGGATGGCGGCGGCGCCTGGACCGGAGGGGACGACTACGACGGCGCATGCGCCGGCGGATTCGGCGATCTTGGCCTGGTCGACGGAGGAAACTTCGACGATGGCACCACCGCGGAGCATCTGAGCGATCCCGATCTTGACGGAGAATGAGTGGTGGTGGTTCTTGGCGTCGGTAATGGCGCTACCGCCGTAAAGGGTCATGGCGCTTTGGTCTTGATCCGCCATTGGTTGATTCGTCGGACGGCGACAGAGGTATAATTTCCCGGCGAAGGGCTTTGTAATGGTGATGATCGGTAAGAGTGCAAGAGGTGAGGAGAATAAAGGAGGAAGAAGAGACGAGTGTGGTGAGTTCTAGAAGATTCGGAGACGGTCGGAAGATGGTAGAAGCTGAGTTGAGTTTGGTCGGTGACTCGGTCTGGTGGGAAGAATAAATGTAAAATTCCTCATTTCACTAGGAGTTAGGCAAATTATTGGAAAGATCCGATACAATCTTATATTTATTCCGAATATAATCCGAAATATCCAGATAACTCGGATGGATGGAGTCAATAGAATAATTCATGTATATTATGTTGATTCAAATTTTAGTAATTGAAATATTCCAAAATATACAAATTTCTTTTAAAAATCCGATTTTTTTAAATATGCATTTTAAACTTCTATTGTAGTTTTTTTTATGAATCTACATAACTAATTTCGGCGTCTTAGTTAATAAAACGCGCATATCGCGTGATCTGAAATTAGTTATATATTTTTAAAAAAATTATTATTAATATTATAGTTTTAAATATATTTTATTCTTGAATTTCTAATTTATATTTTTAAATTGCAATGAATTTTTTTAAATGTTAGAATAATGGAATGATTTTTTTTTCTAAAAAATATTAGTAACAATTTGTATGTTTAAATTTTTGTAAGAAATAATATATAACCAAAGGTTAGTATCTAAAATATCTGAATACTGTTTTAGAAAATTTTATATCTCGAAGTTACGTTTTTGAAAAACCGATTGTTAATAAATTTTATACATATTTATTTAATTTAATATGTTAACCTTTAATTTTGTGTTAGTTCCAAATTTTTTTGGAGTCGACCTTATGTATTCTTATTATTTTCATTAGCTTTTGAAGTTTATAAACTCATTACATGCGAGATTTAACATTTGTTTTTTATTGGATGCAAATCTATCACAAAACCCTTCCTCTTTTATCCGTATTTGGGATTGGGTAGACAAAAGCAAAGTCATACATAAGAATATGGGTAAGCACAGATCGGATATCCAAGATTTTTACAATATCCGTATCCGTATCCGATCCATACAAATATTAAAATTTGTTATTCGTATCCGATCCATAGTTTTCAGATATCCGTAATTTTGAATATCCGAAAAAACTACTGATATATACTGTAACGACCCGAGACCGCTATGGAATGATAGAACTATCCCCACACCAACACGAGACATTTCAGCGTGTTTTGTCCTCACTCACACACATCCCGGAAAGTACTTCCCAGGAGGTCACCCATCCTAAGACTACTCCAGAGCCAGCACGCTTAACTTTGGAGTTCTCTCGAGATGGTTAACCGAAAAGGTAGATGCATCTTGTTGTTATGAGTAGCTCAATTAATTTCTTTAAGTTATCTTAGACTGTGTAGTCCCATACCTACACAGCCCTCGAATCCCTCTCATTCTGGTGTGTCTGATTCATCCCTGTAACCCCTACCCAGAAGCTCGTCAAGAGCCGCCCATTGTCAATGCCTCTCGCACCGGCGATCACTCTCCGCCCTCCTACGGTATCCTGGGCTGTCACAGGCCCACCAGCTTCCGCCTGGTTCGTCCTCGAACCACACCGTACTTGGAGAGAACCGGCTCTGATACCATTTGTAACGACCCGAGGCCGCTACGGAATGATAGAACTATCTCTACACACCAACACGAGACCTTTCAGCGTGTTTTGTCCTCACTCACACACATCCCGGAAAGTACTTCCCAGGAGGTCACCCATCCTAAGACTACTCCAGAGCCAACACGCTTAACTTTGGAGTCCTCTCGAGATGGTTAACCGAAAAGGTAGATGCATCTTGTTGTTATGAGTAGTTCAATTAATTCCTTTAAGTTATCTTAGTCTGTGTAGTCCCATACCTACACTGCCCTCGAATCCCTCTCATTCCGGTGCGTCCGATTCATCCCTGTACCCCCTACCCAGAAGTTCATCAAGAGTCGCCCATTGTCCATGCCTCTCGCACCGGCAATCACTCCCCGCCCTCCTACGGTATAAAAAAACAACAAAGATAAAAAAAATAAACTTGGTCCGAAGATTTCTCCATCGACAACTTGCTCGACTTGTCCAACGACGATGTTTTTGTTGATAAAGCCGCCGATGACTAGCCCCACCACCAACTAGAGAGAGTATCTAATTTTTCGAGGACCCTCCGTGTGATGGAAATAACTTTCTCCGTTGCACAGATTTCTCCGCTAACGATGATTTTGGTCTTGCCCCACCATTCCGGTAAAATTCGATTTTAACTTGGGAATTAGTCAATGATTCCTTAAAGATAATCACACGAAAGATGGATTAAGGAAGAGAGAGAGAGGTGGAAGAAAGACAAGGGAGAGAGAGAGTGGTGGCAGAATGAGTAAAGAAAAAAAATGATGAAACAAAACCCTAAAACATCTTTTATTTATTATAATATTACTCTTAAATATAAAATAATTATCAAATCACTCATATATTATTAATATTGCTAAAAAGTTCGGATCGGATCGGATATATCGGATAATTCTATTTTGATATTCGTATACGAAAAATATTTTGAAACTAATATCCGTATCTAATCTGTGAACTCCGGATATCCGAATTTTCGGTTCGGATACGAATCGAATAACGGATCGATTCAGATTTTTTGGATATTATGCTCACCCCTACTTAGGAGGATTTTTTATTTAATTTAATCAAATTAATAAAAAATACAACACTAATCTTATAAGTCATTATATATTTTTTTGACAACTTAAGATTTGATCATTTTTCTTTTAAAAATAAATATTAAGTTTATTTGTTAAATGTGTCGAAGAAACTCATTTGTATTTGTATATACCGTTAACAAAATGAAACTCATTTGTATATTGTATATATTTAAACTCACAATATAAATATTTATGTTTTAAGGTCAATGATTAAGAGTATTAACCAAGAGAACAAAAATCAAATTTTACTTCATTTAGAACAACATTTATGATTTTTTTTTATAAAAATTAAATAAGTGTGTTTCCGTAACATTAGTTTTATTAAGTTTTATTATTAATTTTAATGAATAAATTTTTTAATCAAATTTTTGGGAACATTGTTTTAATCTAAGTTAACTATGTGATTTTATATGTAAAAGTTTATAGAAATCTTAATTATCTATAATTTGGATTCCTCAATCATATACGCATTTTATATACCATAATTATTATAAATATATTTTTACAGTCTTTGTAGCATTTTTATTATATTTTTTAGTAGTTGCATATATTTTTTTTCTTAAAAGTTTTTTCCATTTGATTATTCAATTTGTTAATTTTTTTCTTTTTTTCTTTTATCAATTGTCTTCGTTTTCTATAGAATTTGAGATTCAATTTGAAAGATGGATAAACTTGAAAAGTTTTTTTATAAATATTATAAAGTATAAAAGAAATCAACATTGTTCAATTTTGTTTTCCAAAAATACCATTTTTTAAAAGTATCATAAGTTCAAATTTATTTTTCCATATTTATACAGATCTATAATAAAAAATACCATTTGTTATGTTGATTATCTCGAAGAATACGGACCGCGCGATCTAAATCATCCAACGCCTTATTTGGATTTGTCTCTCAATCAAAATCCATACATATCTAACTCGTGTTTCTTCTCCATCGCTGTGCTTGTGTTCGACTATTGGAAACCACTCACAATTCTCTTCTTCTCATTTCGATTCTTGTAAAATAAATGACATTGTCTTTTGAGGTGTAGTCCTTGCTTCGTTTTTATCTCTCATATTTTGTAGTTTGATCTGAGTGTAATCATTTGAATGGAAATCCAGAATTGATATTCTATTTTGATTATAATATACAAAATTGATGAACATGATTCCTCGAAGAACCTCTTTGATTAGATCATAAAGGACTTAACTATTTCGTTGTAAAATATGTTGCTTATATAATATACAGCTCATTCTTATAAAATATATTTTATAATAGTTAAGTACTAATTATGATTGTCATTATTATTTATAGATTTACTTGATCGTCAACCTCAAATCTCTCACCATCTTCTTTATTTATATTCGCAATTATGTTTGGATTCTTCTCAAATATCCCACCATATTCTTTATTTATATTCGCAGCTTTGTGTGGATTCTTCTCTTCTTTATCCACAACTCTTTTTAGACTTTTCTTCACCATTGGTTTATCAGATTGGACGAATATCGGTTAAACTCGACCAGAACGAAGAACATTTCACAGGCTTCATCGTATAAAGAAGCTATGATTTGTCCTAAGTTGGCATGATTAGTATTCACAGGAATAAATCGAATAGTCAATACCATCGAGAATACTCCTTTAAAATATCTAAACAAATCATCCATTTATATAATAATATGACATAAAAAATAGAACAACTTGAAAACTGAAACATAAATCAATATAAGACATCAGAATAATATAAAAACTAAAAAATAAATAAGCATAACTCGTGTCCAAGTTTGACATCCATTCCTTGAAAAATAAATACGTGTATCCTTATCAACGTATAGATAATTAATGAATATAGAATTCATTAGTTAATTATTAACCATTGGTATACGCGAGAAAGATTCAATGCATTATTTAATTAATAACTCTTGATATTACATGAGAAATATTCATTAACCAATTTATAACTTTTGATATTCCTAAAAAAAGACACGTGTTATATTCTCGTGAAAAATATACTTTTATATATATATGATACAATTATAAATATCTAAATATTTTAGATATATCTAAATTTTGAATATTATGATGTAGAAGAATTTAAATATTTTCAAAATTTGTAGTGATATCATCAACGATTTAACATCAACATCAACATCGCTTCATTCTCAAGTTAAAAATTTTAATGATATATTTGATGGAATTTATATCTTAATTTTTCTCATCAAATTATTTTCATAATATTATCGGAATATTGATTGCATCATTTTGTATCATAGTAATCCGAATATTAACCAATTATTTCAATCGATTTATACTTTTTCAATTGATCTACAAAAGAGTTGGAAGATCAAAAAATATAAAAAAAATGAAAAAATTAAAATTAATATAGAGGTTGATGTAAATTAAACCTCAACCCAAAAATATGGTGAAAATTGTGTTTGAAGAAAGAGTGCAAATGAGATTATTGATAGTTCGATGATACATTCGACTTTAACATTTTGTTAAGAAGCTAAATGTTAAGAAGCATGAGAATATGAAAAATTGAATCAAAATGGAATGCTAAAAAAGAATGATATTTATGATTGTCAAATTCACCTCTATGATGACATTAAAAATTATTTAATATATGTACCTAATTGATTTTGAACATAGGTGATGAAATAAATTTTTTTTAGAAAACACGTTATATTTTCGTCAAAGAAGATAAATCTATAAAAATTGTGTGAAGTGGCCAAATAAAACAATATAATAACGTAAATTGTTAACGTTAGGAATAGATGATGTCCAAACAACGTAATGCGTTATTTCAAATACAATTGAAACCATTGTTTAAAATCGAAAAAATGGAAGTTGAATACCCTTGTCAAGTCAAGATGACATGCTTCAAAAAATCAATCTAATCTCTATACATTTGCAAAAAGAAATATCTTAGTTATAAAATTATAGATAATAGAATATTTTTATTTAAAATACTTTTTATGAAATCTTTTCAATAACAGAATCCATACGAGAACAAAAATCCTAAACCAATAACTGTTCTAAAAAGATACCAACCAAGTTAGCACGATTTGAGGTTTGTTTATTTAATCACCAAGGAATTGAAAACAAAACAATTTATAGTTATCAAAAAACATGCAAAATAATTGTATATAGATTATTTTAAAAAGTTTCTTTAAATTATTTTAAAATTATATTCTAGATTTTCGAAAAGAGAAATTTCCAAAAAAAATCATCCAATTTAAAGATAACTAACAAATTCATAACGAATTTTTAAAAAATTCATATTCATACTTAATTTGAAATTTTTTTCTAAAAAATCATTCAAAATTTAAATTTTTAACAAAATTCTCATCGGAACCGAATTAATTTTGTCATATAAACAGAAACCGCCTTACGTGGCATGTATTACCTCACCATGTAGGATACACGTCACATTAATAATAAAAAATTGTAAAAAAAATGTAAAAAAATTGTAAAAATTATAAAAATTGTAAAAAATATAAACTTGTAAAAAATTTCAAAAATTGTAAAAATTGTAAAACAATTGTAAAAATTCTGAAAAAATTGAAAAAACTATAAAATTTGTAAAAAATTGTAAAAAATTGTAAAAATCGGGATGAGATAGAGATTTTTAAATCAGTTTTTAAATAGGTTTTCTGTCTACGTGGCAAAATTAATTCGGTTCCGATGAAGATTTTGTTAATAATTCAAATTTTGAATGATTTTTTTAATTTTTTTTTTGAAATTCAGTATGAATATAAACTTTTCAAAAGTTCGTGACGTGACGAATCTGATAGTTATCTTTAAATTAGATTATTTTTTTGGGAATTTTCCTTTCGAAAATTCCATGTATTCATTTTCGAGTTTAATCCAAATTAAACTATAAGAGTGTAAATACAACAAAAAATGATACGAAACCCAAATTAAAAAGATTGATGTCGAACAAGATAGAGAAAACAATATTAACGAAAATGATTTGAGTGAATGCGCTTTACAAAAAAAAAAGCTATGAGAGCGTAAATTTTAGAGTAAAAAAGTTAATGATATTTTTTTATTTTTTAAAAAAAATACGAATCTTCTTTTTTACATGTTCGGATATATGTTATTTCGAAAATAAAAACAAAAAATTCAAGATATTTGATACTCCAAAAATCTATTTCAAATTCATAGTTAATGATATTCGAATATACAACAATTAGATATATTTTCGTTACATAAGAAAAAAACAATTAGATATTTTTAGTAATCCAACACATGTCAACGTGTCAATGTAAAAAAAAAGGACCACGACCGAGCTCCGACCACTGTCTAAAGTGGGGACCACCATATGGAAGAGCTCCTGACGAGCGACACGGCATCGTTTTGGTGCACCCTCCTTCTCACGTGCCTAACTCTTCAACGTGGGAAAATCACCTAAATAACCCATTTGGATCGCATCTATTTCAGTATACATCACCGAAAAAAAAAAAAAATTTTAATTTTAACCCACTTTTCGATTGAAAAAGTCCAAAATACCCTTTTCATTTTATTTTTTACAACCTTATTACGACTAACATATAACTGATATACAATTAAAATAAGACAGATGATTTTTTTGCCACCTTTTTTAGAATCAATTGTAACTATATTTAGACTTAATTATGAAGTCGTAATAACGAAGTTGTTTTCGAACGGATAAATATCGTAATTCATTAAGGGTAATTTCGTCTTTTCACAGGGAAAAAAATGTGTTATGTTTTCGGTGGTGTACTGGTGAAATAGATACGACCCAAGTGGGTTATTTGGCTAAAAAAACCCCTTCAACGTGCATTCCATATTTTTCTCAAATCTTAATCATATAAATTAAATACGTTAAAGAAAATTAATCTCCTCTATCTCCCTCTTCCTTTAGACTTAAGCATGATGATTGCAGAAATAGAATAAAGTTTGGCGAACCATTTATTAAAATCTATAAAATATTATTTTAAACTTTCAAAATTAAAGAAGGAACCTTCTCTCTAATCCGTGATTACGTATTGGGTTTAATGGAGCAATAGAGAGATAGCAGCTCAGTGCTTTAATTTGAACTTGTGAAGAGAGAGGCAGAGAGAGAGGGAGAGAGAGAGAAGACGGGGTCGGAGATCCGATTAGGGCACGATTTGGAGCACCCATTGGAGCTAGCGAAGTGAGATTGGGATCCGCATTTTTGTTGGAAGAGATGAACGGGAGGCAGAGATCTGGTGCGGCTACGGTGCACCACCAGAGACAGCTCTCCGACACCTTCCTCGACGGTGCCCCCTCCAGTGGCCGATGGCTTCAGTCCGCCGGTCTTCAGCATTTCCAGTCTGCTTCTGGCAATGTAAATCCGACGGTGTTATCCTCATTTGCCTTGTCTTTTTATCTGTTTCGCTCGAGATACAGTGCGATGAACTTGTTTTTCGTTCTGGGTTTCTGTTGTTTCTTAAGAAAATCTCTTAGTTCAGGAACGCTACTTGCGAATTTTTTATATCTGCTTGCTGGAAATGGATACGATCTAATGTATTTGTTTGATCGTCTATGAATTAGCCGGTGCAAGATGTTGGAGTTTATATGCATTTGCTTGATGAGGGTTATCGGACCAATTCGAAAATGCCATCCGATCGAAAATTAAAGGATGTCTCTTGTTGGAGTTTCTTTGATTTTTTGTACTAATAGATAATGGTGGAACTACTAACAGGACTATGGAAACTACGGTGGAAACCAGGCAACAAGAGGATTCAGTAATGGGCAGCGAGGTTTTAATGGTGCAAATGAAATATATGGAGAGCTTACTTCTCCTCAGTACGGTTCTCGCCCGTCTAGCCAGAGAAAGAATGGCGATGAATCTGAGTTTAGTCACGGGCTATTAGATCTGCATTCTTTTGATACTGAGCTTCTTCCTGAGGTGGGTGTTTTCTTAATCTCCTCTCGAAGTAACATAGATAGTTCTTGTTCGATGTTGTTTTCATGTTCATATGGTATCCGTATATTTTAGAACAATTTTTAAACTTCAGTAGCAGCATTTTAGATTTTTTTTCCCGTCTAACCAATCTGGCAAGAGACGAAGTATAGTTAAAAGAAGGATATCCTATAATGGATGTATATGGTTGTTTATCCATTTACTTAGTTTGTGTCCTGGTTTGAAAAGTATTTGAACTTTGTTCTCTCCTACTGGCATGTTGTTATTGCTTTCTGGGCATATGTTATGCTTATCTCTTGTTATTTTATGAACAGATTCCAGTCTCTAGTCAATTAGAAGGTCCCTCCATTTTCAATCCTAATCAAGGTCGTAGCTTTGATGATGACTTTGAAACCTACAACAAGCTGCCTGGCGGAAGACGTGGGTTGGCTGAAAACTTTGCCGTTGAGAAAGAAAGGATGAATTCTGTTGCAAAGATTAAAGTTGTTGTATGTTTCCTTCACTAGCTTCTCCTTTCTCTAGTTTAAGCTCTTATGGACAGTTGCTTGGTTTTCTTCACTAAATTAAGTGATTTCCCTTTCTTGTAACTCTGAGCACATTATTTGTTTTTCGTTTCTGTAACGTGATATTTCTTGATTGCTTGAGAACAGGTACGTAAGAGACCGCTTAACAAAAAGGAGTTGGCGAAGAATGAGGAAGACATTGTTGAAACATATTCCAACACTATAACAGTTCATGAAACTAAACTTAAGGTCAGCTACTGATTGTTCGGTTCCTGCCATCTGAAATGTGTAGAGATAACGTATTTTTCTGCTGTTAGAGGTTGACTGATTTAGACTCAAACTTTTGCAGGTTGATTTAACAGCTTATGTGGAAAAACATGAATTTGTTTTTGATTCTGTACTAAATGAGGAAGTCTCAAACGATGAGGTGAGTGTGCTGTTGGAAAGCATATAACATCAACCATACAAAAAGCAAAAAAATATTCACAAAAGAGGGTGAATATAAACCTTAACGTATATTGTTCTGGTCGTTGTTCTCAGACTACATATCAAATTCTGTAGGTTTACCGTGAGACTGTGGAGCCTGTAGTCCCCCTCATTTTTCAGCGCACCAAAGCCACTTGCTTTGCATATGGGCAGACAGGTGAATTTTGTATTGTGAAGTCATGAATCCAAAAGGCCGTGTCCCGAAAACTCTGAATTAGCCACTATCCACCCCTCAATTTCTATTCCAGTAATATGGAGACTTGTGATTGGATGGACTTAGATCTTTTTTCTTCCATTATATCTATGTCCTATTAAAAAGACATTGTATGCGGTGATTTCTAATCTATCATAAATCAGAAATGATGCACTAGCATGTGTGGTCATTTTCTCTACCCAAAAAATGGTTTGTTCAGCTAACAAAATATGAAATTTGTTTTATGCAAAATCTGTGGAATGGTCGTGTATACCTGAACCATCCTTGTCTTACGTATGCCTTTCAGGTAGTGGTAAAACCTATACCATGAAACCGTTGCCTCTTAAAGCTTCAAGGGACATACTGAGGTTGATGCACCACACGTACAGGAACCAAGGGCTACAGTTGTTTGTCAGTTTCTTTGAGATTTATGGAGGAAAACTATTTGATCTCCTTAGCGATAGGAAGTAAGTTCAATTTTTTTTTCATTTTGTTCCATCTTCTTGGCCGTGATGCCAATACATGCAGCTGAACGCTATTCCTCCGCTTCTATAGGAAGCTGTGCATGAGAGAGGATGGTAAGCAGCAAGTTTGCATCGTGGGCTTGCAAGAGTACAGAGTGGCAGATGCAGAGACGATTAAGGATCTTATTGAGAAGGGAAGTGCGACAAGAAGTACTGGGACAACTGGTGCAAACGAGGAATCCTCCCGTTCACATGCTATACTTCAGCTCGCTATCAAAAAATCAGCAGAGGGAAACCAGTCAAAGCCTCCTCGTCTTGTTGGCAAGCTTTCCTTTATCGATTTAGCTGGAAGTGAACGGGGAGCAGATACAACAGACAACGACAAGCAGACAAGGTAGTGTTTTCTGCAATCTCTGATTTGGAGCCTGGCAATCCAACAGTGATGAATAGTCTCTGTGCTGAATCTGTTCTGTATATCAATACTATTTTATATCAATGATGACAGATTGGAGGGAGCAGAGATCAATAAGAGCTTGCTTGCCTTAAAGGAGTGCATAAGAGCTCTAGATAATGATCAAGGTCACATACCTTTTAGAGGGAGCAAGCTAACCGAAGTTCTCAGGGATTCGTTCATGGGAAATTCACGCACTGTCATGATATCTTGCATATCTCCGAGCTCTGGATCATGCGAACACACCCTTAATACCTTGAGATATGCTGACAGGTATAGTTTTCTCGTTCACTGTTCTATATATTTTCTCGTTCCATCATTTCTCTGTCTCACAAAGTTTATGTGTACTATGACAACCGCATTGTAGGGTGAAGAGTCTCTCGAAGGGAAATAATTCTAAGAAGGACGTATCTTCTTCAATTGTAAATCTAAGGGAGTCAACAAAATTTCCAATTGCTTCGGAACTGCCACCTCCATCTAACTTTGACGATGACATGAATGAAACATGGGCTGAAGATGATAACGATGAATTTGATGCATCTGATTACGAGCAAGAGAGACAAATGTTGAAGAAGAACGGGAAGATAGAGCCGTCATCCTATAATGTCCCTGCACAGGACAGAATGCAGAAACCTAGTATTCAGATGAAGAAGACAAGGGACATGCCGAAACCTGACATGAAGAAGTCAAACTCTGACAACGATCTAACCATACTTTTGCAGGTGATTATTCAGTAAGGAGAGTCTTCTTTCAGAATAATCCATGTCTTATATTAAGAGAGCTTTTACCTGACAAGCATTTCTCACGAACTTTTGCAGGAAGAAGAAGAGCTTGTGAACGCACACCGCAAACAAGTTGAAGAGACCATGAATATCGTGAAGGAGGTATGATTCATTTAGTTTTGCCAACCTTTTACCGGTATATATATACATATATACATATATTATATACACATCATTTGCAGGAAATGAACTTGCTGGTAGAGGCAGACCAACCGGGGAACCAACTCGACGGCTATATTACGAGATTAAACGCCATTCTCTCTCAGAAAGCGGCAGGTATTCTCCAACTACAGAACCGTCTTGCTCATTTCCAGAAACGGCTAAGGGATCACAATGTGTTGGTATCTACTACTGCTGGGTACTGACCCGAAAAGCCCGACTCACTAACGGGTCCTCATTTTACTGGACCTAATCCCGGGTTTTGGCTCTCAAGAAAAAAAAAAGGGTTCCGTGGCGGTGGCGGTTGCTGTGGCTTGCCAGTTTCCCTATCTATTGAACCTCCATCCCCTTCTTGAGAATCTACAGAGAAGTATTGAAGGGATTATTATGTAAAGATTATATGCTCTCGTGCTGTTTTTTTGTTTTTAATTAAAAAATTCCTCAGCTCTTTACGTTTTGAGATCTTGTTTTGTATTTGTTGCAAGAGAAGGAGAAGGATGTAATATACAACAATGTACTTGATGATGATGATGGTGTTACAGTTACTTGTTCAGCTGTACCAGAGTCATCATTATGCATCTTAATACCATATTTTATGCTGTCTTTGACTAGCTTGAAGGACGGTCCAAAATTGAAAATTATGTGATGCTTATGGTAGAATAGCAACAAAAAAAAAATGATATAAAAGTAATTAGAAAATATTTCTAAATAACTAAAAATTCCTAAAATTAATCAGCTTACAAGCAGTGAGCGTAAATGTATAAAGAGAATTCGGTCTAACATCCACTAAATTGGAAAACAGTTCATTGTCAAACTAAATTGGTGCAGATATATGCACAGGAAACACTGAAGCAAACAAACAGACAAAGAAGAAAGAATCCAAAACAATGAAGAAAAAAACACACAAACAGCGGAGATCAAGAACCCTAAAATGTAAGGACAGACCCAACTCTTCTCTTGGAAGCCTTGGCTCTGACGACAGACGACGTCTGAGGAAGAGACAGATCCGAGTAGAGATCAGCAAAGAACTTGTCGACGATATCGAGATAGACGGGGCTTCTAAGGCGGGAATAGTAATGAACCGCCTCTTCTACGTCGAGGGCATCCTCTATATCTCCGCTTTCGATCATATCCATCTCCTTAACCTTCTTCTCAAATGCTTCCCGGTCTCTTTGTCTTCTCCACGACCGGGAAAAGGCTCGAGGTTTCTCCCCTTCTTCTTCTTCTTGAGTTTGCTCTAACGATGACGTATCATTGGCTTTTTCGAGATCTGATTCCAAAACGTTGAGAAAACTTATGTAGAGGTTGTCGGGGTGAAGAGATTTTGACCTGCGAGAAAAGGGTTTTCTCGGTAGCTTCTTACGCACTCGGAAGAAGAAAGACTTGACGTTGTGAAGTGTTCTATGGAAGAAGAAGAAGAAGAAGAAATCTTTCTCCTTAAACATCTCTTGATGATGAACACTTTTCTCTTCAGAGTAACTGGTGCTTTTTTGCATTACCAAAAAAAATGATGTTTTTTTTTCATCAAATGTTCCTCAATATCATATATATATATATATATATATATATGTATGAATACACATATATGGTGTTTCTATATTTTCTATATATATATATATATATATAATGGTAAGAATGCAAAAGAGAGAATTTGGTTTGTTTTTGTCTTGGAATCAAACCTTTCTCTTTTACTCTTAATCTCTTTTATTCAGATTCATCGTGTTGCTCATTTTTTTTTCTTTTTCTTCTATTTTTCTCTGTCTTTTTCCCCCTGATTTTGTGTTCCTTAAATTAAAGTCGATGTGGTTGAAGATCATGTACAAAGAAATCCGACATTATCGTTGCGTAACTCTTAAGCAACTTTCATTATGAGAAAAAAAAAATATTTGATTATAGAAATACTTGTCAAGATTCAAACAAGTTCAACTATTTACTGATGTGTTTACTTCTAAGTTACATTAAGTTCGACGGCAATTAATAAAAAATTATTCTCACATGTTAATCTTGATTAGTTTTGAGGAGTATTCCAAATACATAATAATTAATCAAGTAAAACAAATATCATAATATCATTTTTAAATTATATAATTATATCATAATATCATTTTTTTTTTCTTATCACCTATGACGTTTTTAGTAGTAAGAGACTTGGGTTTTCTTAAACTCGATGATAGATAATTCATATTTCAAGATATCGTCTCCATGTTAATTGAGTAAATTAAAATATCATCTGTTTTGTGTTATATTAGTTTACGTTTTTTATGAAATAATGGCGCACATAAATTTCACGAAAAATTGTTTTTAACAGAACAAATTCCATATATATATATATATATATATATATTGTGTTACATGGAGGAATGAGTTTGTGTCCTTTTAAAGGGAAGAGTTAAGGATAATCAAAGCTTTGGTTTTTGACGAGATGTTGTCTAAAGTGCGGTTCCATTCATTGAGATGCAAAGCCAAAGTCCCTCTTTGGACCCACCGCTTATTTATACATTGCATTCCAATTTCTCTTACATTTTGTATTTTTAGAATCCCTTTCCACCATTTACTACTCAAATTACGTTACAAATTGCCCCCCTCCCCTCAATTTTTTTTACTATCCTTTAATTTGCTTTTACATAAATTAAACCTATTTTATTTTAAAATACCTCATAGAAAAAAAATAACAAGTAAGATATGAACAAAAATATTCAGTTTTCGAATATCTGATATAATCCATGATCTATTATCCAAAAGTCCAATATCTCTCCAATACAAATTTAAATTTAATAATTGGAATAAAAAAGTATCCGATTTACTTATCATTTTCGATATTTACCGATACATACATATATATATATATATATATATATATAGAGAGAGAGAGAGAGAGAGAGAGAGAGAAATAAAACTATTCTTTTTTTCTTTCTTATTTCATAAAATTAAAAAAACATACTTTTAAAATTTTTATCCTAAAATTCATACGTTTCTCTTTTACATTTGTGATTTTGTCTTCAATATCCCCTTTCCCTAATCCTCGGATATCCAAATATTTGGGATATATTCATAAATATTTAAAACTCAAATATTTGTTGACTTAATTCTAATTCCCAAACACCATTTCTAAATTAGATATTCCAATTTTTTATGTTTTTTGTTTTTGTACACTGTATTTGAATACACTTGAGCATCTTGCTTCGCGTACGATACCGTGAATTTGGAAAAAATAGAAAGACCCATAATGATCACTTTATAATTTAATATGGAAAAATCGATACTGTGAATTTGCCCAAAAAAAAAAAAAAAGATTTGCTGAAAAAAAAACACATCTCTGGAATCCATTAAGCCCAACAATAATGGGCTACATCATTCGGCCCATAATGCCCATAGTAACCCTAGAACAAAAAAAAAACCCTAAAATTTTAGATATAAATTGGTTCTGAGTCTGCCTGTTCAGTTTCTTCTTTTCTGAAGCCGGAATCTAGGGTTTTTTCTTGCGCTCGCCTCCGCTGCAATGGTGATCTCCTCCACTCCTCTCATTCGGTCTTCGAATTTTTTATTCTGTTGATCGATTGCATTTCTGATCTAAATTTCGGTGTGGATGTGGGTTTTTGGGGATTTCAGGGTAAGGGAACGGGAAGTTTCGGAAAGAGGAGGAACAAGACCCACACTCTCTGTGTGAGGTGTGGACGCCGCAGCTTCCACATCCAGAAGAGTCGCTGCTCTGCTTGTGCCTTCCCCGCTGCTCGCAAGAGGACCTGTAAGCCTCTCTATCTCTCTCCCTCTCTTTGTGTGTGTGTACGCCTTAGTTTATGAATGTAATTTCGTGGGGATCGCGAAACAGTATCAAAGTGACGAGGAAAGCTTCTTGTTAGATTAGTGATTTCATTGATTCTCTGTTAGGTATATGTTTTTTTTCAATAGGAGAAAAGAAGCATCTCACTGATTACTATGTCCCTGTACTTTTAGCGATTCCCTGACCAAATGTTGTCAAAGTCGACTTTTTTCATGATAATCTTCGGCTGCTTTTGTTGTGATAGAGCCATTTTTTTTTTTGTGTGTGTGTTTGTATAATTGTGATGTTTCTGCTATAGGATTTATGGGACTGTGTCTGTTTTTTTTGTGTAGACAACTGGAGCGTGAAGGCCATCCGGAGGAAGACAACTGGTACCGGAAGAATGAGGTATCTTCGCCATGTCCCTCGCAGGTTCAAAACCGGATTCAGAGAAGGTACTTGATTCTTGTTTCCATTACCCTATTGCCTTATTCTAGTTGGATAACCTTCTGAAGTTTCTTCTCGTAACTCGTTGAAGATATTGCACACGTGGGTTTATGGGAGTTTTACACATTGTTTGTAGGTACTGAGGCAAAGCCGAGGAACAAGGCAGCAGCCTCGTCGGCTTAAGTCAATTTAAGCATTCACAGGGAGAGTAATTTTTGTAGTTTTGGTTTCTCTTCTGCTTGAGACTATTCATGTTTGTTCTTGTGTCTTCTATTTGAAAAAGTATTGGACAGAGATGGAAATGCTGCTTACATTTTGAAACCCTTTATTGATTATTTGTGTTTTGACAAGAAACAAATATAGATTGCTTGAGTGAGATTATAGATATGGTTTTGTCGTGGCTAGTTCAAGAGAATGCGGTCTGTTTGCATGAGTTAGGGTTTTGGATCCTATTACTGATTCAATTTTATAGGAATTGCATCTTAGAAAAACTCGGCTACTCCACTACATGTGTGGATATGATTTTTCCTTGGTGCTTATGGTATTGAATTCTGGGCTACGATTATGAATGCTGATTTTGCTCTTTTGAAGAAATCTGTATATAATATATGAATTTGATGCTTACAAGTCCTTTACATGTTTATATATATCTATATATATATTGGCTGAATTCAGTGATTGCTTAGGCGGATCAGACAGTGCATATCCTGCATGTAAGCGTAAAATCACATCTTTTGTAGCTTTTTGATGTTTCAGCGTTGTTGATGACGTCCGTATGCATCTGGTTCATGGTTGATGTCACGTGCATTCATGTATTAATGTCTATCTGTGTTGTGTGTTGCGAGATTCTTGGTATTGGGTCAAGAATGTAGGAAACTATGGGGTCGTTATTTCTTTTCTCTGTCTAATTATTTTTATAATAATATGATTTTATTTTAGAAAAAATCATATATCATCAGTTTTTATAACAATTGTTTATCCGATTGGATCTGTTTGATTTTCTAAGGTCATATTATTCTTCCTACGAGTTGAATGTGCATCCAACATGAATTAGGTGTTGTTTTTTTTTATTAAAATGAATAGAGAATGAGAAGATTTCTAAAAAATATTTAATTGCAATTATTTCCCATTTTCTCTATTATCATTAACTTTTTGTAGCAACTAAATTTGGATGTAATTATTTTTTATAATCACCATTTTGTCTGACTTTCTTCTCTAAAATTTTATTATACCTTTTACATGTTTTCATCCTGTTAAACTTATAGATGATAGATATTATTTCATTTTTAAATTATAAAATAAAAAACCCTTAAACTTTGAATTTATTTCAAAAATTCAATTTTTAAAATTCTCTTTCAATCATTTTTTTCATTCATAACTTTTTGTATCGTTATCAGTTCTTGATATCTATACATAAATATTAAAATTATCTTTATAAGGTATATAGAACATATGATTATGTTATAAAGATAAAAGTTATAGAGTTCGAAAGTTTCTCGAAAAAATGTTAAAAAATTAATTCTATTAAAAAAAATTAAATATATAAAATAACTCAACATTAATTATTCTAGTAACCAATGCCTGGTGTATATTTTATATTTTTCGTATTCGTTTTCTATTTTTTTTTTCAATTTTAGAATGTATTCATTGACTTATATATATATATATATATTTCATTTCATTAGGGTCGTTGTTTGAGTTCGTATTTTATTAATAAATATATTCATATTTCAAAAAATTTCGATTTTATTCGATTATTTTTTGGGATTGAATTCCGATTTCTATTTTTTTTAAGTTATGACTATTCGATTTTTATTAGATTTTAGTTACCCGAACCCAATCTTTCCCAATTCCGATTTCTGATCTTGCATGAATTGTTTTTTTTTTTTGGGATAAAGAATCTAGCATGAATGTTGAAATTCACTTTTGCATTTTGAAAGAATATAAATATTATATGAATAATTAATTAAATATTCATATCATATATATATGACATGCATTTAAGTAATTAGTTATATATTCATGTCGTATGAATTGTTTGCACATAGATGACTACTTGTAATCCGATGGACATGCTTTCATTGTTTCCGGAAAACAGAACAACTTCACACAAAACACATGACACGTTTTTTAAAGGTAAAATTCTAAAACCTGAAATTCTCAATTTTCACAAAATAAAACATAAATTTATTTTTATCAAATAAAAGTTCAATTTTATTTTTCAATAAAAAAATAAATCCAAAATTTATAATATTTATCATTTTTAAACATATTACTGATGCAAGATTATGATATCATGACATGTGGATGATGACGTATCAAATATTATCAAAATGTTGACTTGCTAAATAGGATAATGGAATACCACGTCGTCAGTAATAAGTTTAAAAATGATAAAAAAATATAAAATTTTAGTTTATTTTTAGGTAAAAATAAAATTAAAGTTTTATTTGATAAAAAACAAATTTCATATTTTATTTTGAGAAGTTTAATTGTTTTAGGATTTTTTCTTTTTTTAAATTTGTCTGTTTTATTATAATTTAATTTTTTTGGAGAGAACCCGCAATTGAAATAATTGGACGAAGAGTCAAATTTAAATACGCTTAAGCGCCAACGTACTTAACACGATAATTGCTATTATTAGTCCCAAAAAGTAAAAAAAAAAATTATACCAAAAAAAAAAAGTAAAAAAAAAAAAAATAGAATGGAGGGGCAGTTTTGGAAATATAGATTTAACGGTACCTTTGCTGTTATTAGGTGACGATTCCTGGGAATATTCTTCTGCAATCTCCCGTTTGAATTGAGAACCCAAAGTTGAAAAGGGGCAAAAAAAAAAAAAAAGAAAAAAAATCAGCTCCGTCGAAGCTTCCGTCCATGGCGTCTCGCCGGAGAGTGCTATTGAAGGTCATAATCCTCGGTGACAGTGGGTAATTCTCTCGAACATTCGAATCTCACTTCTTCGTCTCATGCTTTATTTTTCTTTTTTTAAATTGGTTTCATGCGCTCGGTAGGATGAAGAGTTTTCTCTGGATCTTCGTTCTCGTATCGATGAAATCGATATGAGAACGATGTTTCTCGGTTTGATTATTGGTTTGTTATTTTTTTTCACTGATCGACATTTTTTGATCCTTCGTTTGGATAGGGTCGGGAAGACTTCTTTGATGAATCAGTAAGTTTTCATCCCGTGGATCTTGGATTTTCTTAATGCTTATTGTTCTTTTGCTGCGTCAGATTTTGTAAATCAATTCACGGATTTGTTTTCTACCTGTAAGGTTTGTGAATCGCAAGTTCAGCAATCAGTACAAAGCGACGATTGGAGCCGATTTTTTGACGAAAGAGGTCCAAATTGATGACAGGCTGTTCACTTTGCAGGTAATGAAGCTATATCTCTCTGCTCTGTTTTCCATTGTTGGTTGAAAACTGAAAATAAATGTGATAGTCAGGAGGTTCAATAGCTGCACATATAATTTGTTGCTTATCATCTAGTTTCCAGTTTGATGGTGAAAATTGGTATTTTGTATCAAAGGATATGTTGTTTGGATCTGAACTTTCGAGGATTGTGTTGCATTGTCTGTCTGTAGTTTGTTCCAGATCCTATTTTATGTTGCGTCAACTTTGTGTTGCAGTTCATGTTATCTCCAGTATTATTGTGAAACGATTACGAGTATTGCGTTGCATTGTAGTTTGTTCCAGATCCCATTTTATGATGAATATGACTGTAAATGAACGAGTAAGGATGCACTTTGCGTTTGTATAGATATGGGATACTGCTGGGCAAGAGAGGTTTCAAAGTTTGGGAGTGGCATTCTACCGAGGAGCCGACTGCTGTGTTCTTTGCTATGATGTTAATGTCATGAAATCTTTCGATAATCTCAACAATTGGAGGGAAGAGTTCTTGATCCAGGTAGATCGACACATACACTAACAAACCTAGAGCATTTATGAGGATGATTTAGTATGAAACCTGTGATGGATTCCCTTGTTCTTCATGTTGTCAATGTTTAGGCCAGTCCATCAGACCCCGAGAACTTCCCGTTTGTCGTCTTGGGGAATAAGATAGATGTTGATGGTGGCAAGAGCCGAGTGGTCAGATCTTTTCCTCGTGTTTCATTTCATCCCGTAGCTACCGAAGCAGAAATATCTAGAGTCTGGTAATGCTAGAACTATTAAGATAGATCTCTGTCTTGTCTTGTTAACAAACATCAGGTTTCAGAGAAGAAAGCAAAGGCATGGTGTGCATCAAAGGGAAACATTCCTTACTTTGAAACCTCGGCCAAAGAAGGATTCAATGTCGATGCAGCTTTCGAGTGCATTGCCAAAAATGCACTCAAGAACGAACCCGAGGAAGAAGTGTACGTACATAAAAGAAAAAACCCATCTCATTCCATTGTTTTGAACAAAATCAATAGCAGTTAGTTGCGTATCTTGTTATCATGAAAAACTTAGGGCTTTGTATTCTTGATTTCTATGGCAGGTATCTTCCTGACACCATTGACGTTGCTGGTGCTCGGCAACAGAGATCAACGGGGTGTGATTGCTAAGACCGGAAAAAAAGTTTTTTTTCCCCAACGAAGATGGCAAATGTTGCTCTGCGGAATGATGAAATTAGTTGTTTTGGCATGTGATGTTTGTGTTATATAATAATATGTGCTCTGTTATTCCATTTCAGATTTTTTGTATTTTTTTATGATCAGTTTTATATCTCATTGACGACTTGGGTAAAATGAATCGGGTTCCCAATATAAAATAGATTTATTAAATGATTATTTCTTTATTTCTTTGTCATTTGACAAGATCGTTGTTATATTCTCAAAAATTACATGCAGTTCAAAGATTTAAATAATAATAAATATATTTAAAATATAAGTGGACCAGTAGGCTCGACACAATTTGAGCCTATTGGCCTTATAGCTCTACCGCCACCTTGGTTCTCGAGGTACAGATATCTAGGAGTTTATTACAAGGTAATATTGCCTCATATCAGCCTCTCCATCGTTATCCATTACGACGTAGTACAATAAAAATATGCTTTAATCCTAAATTTATTTAGCGTTGGCCACATAAATTTTTATTTTTTTATTTCATCCGGGGTTTTATGTGATATCTTTCAAAATTTACGATACAATGAAATCATTTCTAATGATTCATGTCCAAATAATATGATTCGTCTCCAAATAAGAGACAAAAGACAAGACTGATGAGTCACTAAAACTGTGAGAGAGGTTTGATCTTAAGAAGAGAGATGTTAGAAGGGAAGACAATGGTTGAAGACACAACATGCCACCGAAGATGTAGATGCAAGCAATGGCATTTACTTATGAAGCTCTTGATATTTTTGACGTCATTAACTGCAAATCCATCGTTGGTCACATCAAGAAGGTACCTTTGAATCCAAAATTCCACCATTCTTGCTGTTAGAAATCTGGAGGAAATCAACGGAAAAATGAGAATGAAATCGAACCGAGGGACCGGATATCTCTTCAAGGCGTAGACACTTTCCTAAAACCGTTATTCCGTCCGTTATGAGCAAGGACTACCGGAATACGATTCTGAGATACAATGAAGAGAAATATGTTCTAGAATTGCTCGTTCAAGAACGCACAGACAAGGAAACGTGAAGAAGAAGATGAACGAAAGCTTTCGGGAGAGATTTTGCAACAAACTTCCGAAAGTGCTCTCAAAATCTCTCAAAAATGGAATCAATCTCGTTCCCAACTTATTCTGACATCTTTAGTATATAAACACCAAATATCATCACCAAAAGTTGCAAAATCTGCAGTTATTACGCGAAGAATCGCATCAGTTCGTATATAACTGTCATGTTCCGAGTTACACTTGACACAACATGAAGTACTTCTCACAGACTTTTGACTCAGATCGAGTTCCACTTGACACGGGCCGTGTCAAATTTCTGTGCAACACGAATTTTTCCTCAGACAATCAACACGGTTCGAGTTAAATCTAACACGGACCGAGTTACATTTCTGTAAAGAAAATTTCGTTTTCGTCATGAAGACTGAGTTCTACTTCACCCGAGTTGAGGTATACCTCACTCACAAACCGAACAACTTTACTGCCAAACACATATATGTTTTACCGATCCATATTATATCATTTACGAATATTTAACTCCTCCACCATATCCGTAATACATATAACTATGAATCTTTTGAGAGATTAATATTAAACCCCATTCATTTACTCTAAAAATACCAACACTTGCAGTATCTCAGTCTCTGACGTAGTTTACCATTGTGGGTTTGTATCATTTCTTGAGAAGATTCTAGAGTCTTTGTCTCTGTTCTTCTGGGTCGTGATTCAAATGCGATAAACAGGAGTTTGATAAGAGATATGGAAGTGGATGGCAATGTGTGGTGGGATCGAATTTCGGGTGTTTCTTCACACATTCCAAAGGGACTTTCATCTATTTCCAACGGGAGACCCTCATATTTCTCATCTTCAAAGGAGCTTCGACTCCATAGAACCTGCAGGCTGTTTGGTTTCCGAGAAAGTCGGGGAGAAAATGAAAATGAAAATGAAATCATCACTCAATCGATCAGGTCAAAATCCTCTGTTTTCTTTTGCGTTATCGATTTTGAATTCGATTCAGGAAGAAGAAACAAAGCAAGATCAGTTGAGAATGAGAGAGGAAAGTCTGAAAGAGAGTTTGAGACAATTTCAAATTTTCCATTAAAGAACAAAATATCGCCCTCGGTTTCTTATATACGAAACAAAACAACAAAATCAAAATAACCAAACTAGTAAAAATCTAAAATAAAAGCAAACCGAAATAAACCGAAACGATGAAAATACATCTTAAGGCTCCCCCTCAAGATGGAGAATACAAGTTATGTATTCCCATCTTGATTAAGAGATTCTTAAAATGTTCAACATACAACGGTTTAGTAAGAACATCAGCAACATTATCCTTGTAAGAAACATGCAAAGGCTTCAAAAAACCAGCTTGAATCTGATCCCGAACATAGTGACAGTCAAGCTCTATGTGTTTTGTACGCTCATGAAACACAACATTATTCGCAATATGAATTGCTGACATGTTGTCACAGAATAATGTCACAGGCTTGGTAACTGGTATGTGAAGATCAGAAAGCACCGAAAAAACCCAAACTAATTCACAAGTAGTTTGAACCATGGCTCTATACTCAGACTCAACACTACTCCTCGAAATAGTGATTTGTTTCTTGGACTTCCATGAGATCAAAGAACTGCCCAAGAAGACACAAAAACCTGTCACTGACCTCCGAGAATCTGGACATGAAGCCCAGTCTACGTCAGTGTAAGCAACAAGTTTAAGTTCTGTATCATAAGAGAAAAACAAACCCTGTGATGGCGCTGCTTTAAGATATCGTAATACCCGATGAGCTGCCTGAAGATGAGCAGAAGTCGGCTTGGACATATATTGACTCAACTTAGTCACAACAAAACTAATGTTTTGTCGAGTAATGCAGAGATAAATCAATTTTCCAACCAACTTTCTGTAATGTAGAGGATCACGCAAAAGATCACCTGATTTCGAGCTCAACTTCTCCCGAAATTCCATTGGAGTTGATGCAGGCTTGCATCCAAGCATGCAAACTCCTCTAACATTTCCAGAGTATACTTCCTTTGGCAAACTGAAATGCCAAGCTTCGAACGAGCCACCTCAAGGCCTAAAAACTACTTCACATCTCCAAGGTCCTTAATCTGAAAAGCAGAACTTATAACAGACTTCATAGCAGAGAGAAGATCACCATCATTGCCAGCCAAAAAAATATCATCAACATAAACCAAGATGACAACCATACTTGTGCCCTGCCTCTTAACAAATATAGAAGCATCAGACTTTGATTGAATACAACCAGGATCCAATAAAACCTGAGACAACTTCAAGTTCCATTGCCTTGAAGCTTGTTTGAGACCATAAAATGATTTAAGCAATCGACAAACAGAATTTGCAGGCACTTTCTCCCCCTTGAGTGTGGCATAACCAGGTGGTAAAGACATGTATATCTCCTCCGATAAATCACCATTAAGAAATGTATTAGAAACATCCATTTGCTGGACTAACCAATTTTGAGTTGCAGCAATGGCCAAAACAATCCGAATGGTAGTCATCTTAGCAACAGGGCTGAATGTTTCAACATAATCAATACATTCCAATTGTGTATATCATTTTGCAACCAATCTGGCTTTGTGCCTCTCAACTATACCATTAGGATTGTATTTGGTTTTAAAAACCCATTTACAACCAATAAGATGCTTATCAGATGGTAATGGACATATCTCCCAAGTATTAGTTCTAGCTAAGGCTTCTAACTCTAAGTTCATAGCATCCTTCCATGTTAGTGGACATGAAGAACATGAAGAACAAATGAAGCCCTCGGAGCAAGATGGACAACACTCGAACATGCACATGCAATGTGGATCGAACAACACAAAAGGAAAGGAGAAAATATTGGATGCAATCAACACGTGACAAGGAAAGAAGCAAATCTGATATACTAACTTCCATATTTCAAGGGTAAATATCATGTTTCCATTTTATAAAAGATATGTAGTCGTTTAGAGTCAAGTGTATATATCCCAAGCTATGTACATGAAAAAGTCAAGAGAGAATAATAGAGCATTTTTCTTCTACCTAGTTTCACATCTCCTCTGTTTTGCTGTCGTAGTTACATGTTTGATATTTGAAGAATTTGGTTTTCTTCATGGTATCAGAGTGAGAAGATAATTAATTCCGCTGATAGCTCTTGTTAACCTTCGTTCATCTCCCTTTCTTTCAACCTCTTGCTACCCTCTGTTGCAGCCATGGAAAACACCACCAAACTTATCTCAATCACCTTGACGGGTGACAATTTCTTTTATTGGACGAAAGCTGCAACGACGTCACTCAATAGCAAAGGCCTATGGGAACATATCTCTGTCGAAAAGAAGACTCCTCCTCCACAAGAGATGGCGTCGAAGGAGAGACTTCAAAACAGGTTCGACAACGTCTCGACCGAATCCGGCAAGCAGCGTCGGATTTTGCCAAATGGAAGCAAGAAGACAGCCAAGCTCTAGTGATTTGGCAGGGTTCGCTGGATTCCTACTTGCTTCCAACCTTCATCACTCATGACACTACAAAGTCTCTATGGGAGGCTCTCCACAAAGTGTATGGTAATATCTCAAACGTGACTAGAATTTTTGAACTAAAAAGAAAGCTGTCCTACCTTCAACAGAATGATCAGCCACTTCCCAAAGTTCAAGGGGAATTTTCTGCGTTATGGGCTGAACTTGAGGAGCTACGTCCAATCTCAACAGATCCAACGACTGTCATGAAACGAGCCGAGGAAGATAAGGCTTTCTCGTTCCTCTTGACACTCAATGCCTCGTTTAATGACTTGATCTATCATGTGTTGAGACAGACATCGTTGCCATCCTTCGAGGAAATCTGTATGATGCTTCAGAGAGAGGCGGGAGGACGAAACCTGTTCTCGGGACCCCCTGAACTTGCTCACTATGCTCACAAGCCTTCGAACCCGATGACTGCTGCTAAAGAACGCAAACAATACTTATGTGAGCGTTGTAAGCGATCAGGCCACTCGATGGATAGGTGTTGGGTCCTCTATCCACATATGAAGCCCTCCTGTTAGAGAGATAATCCTCGAAAAGGTTCGGCCATGTCTGCTCAACATGAAGAAGAAAGCAAGATTGGCCTTACATCTGACGAATTGAAGGGTCTCAAACACCTTCTCCAATCTATCAACAAATATTCTGGTAACTTTTCTCGTTCCTCTTCCATTGTACTTGATTCGGGTGCAACCACCCATATGTTTTGCGATGATTTTTTGTTTGAAAGCATTTTACTAAGTCATGGAGTTGTCACTGGTTCTAATGGCAAAAATGTGCCCATCAAAGGCATTGGTAAGGGATGTTTTTTGTGCTACTAAGAATTTTATCTCATATGTTTCTAACCAATTCCATGTCAAGATTAAGTGTTTGCGAACAGATGGAGGAGGCGAGTACACAAGCTTTCAATTTCGGGACTTTCTTCTTCAAGAAGGAATTGTACATAAAAAATCATGTCTGCACACACCGTAACAAAACAGAGTTGCCGAGAGGAAAAACAGACATTTGATGGAAGTAGCTCGCACTCTACTCTTTCATCGAAAAGTCCCGAAAAGATTTTGGTGTGATGCCGTTAAAGTAGCATGCTACCTTATTAACTGACTTCCAACAAAAGTTCTTCAAGACAAATCACCGTTTGAGGTATTATATAACCTTCGTGACTCTCTTGATCATTTGCGTATATTTGGATGCTTGTGCTTTGCTCACATTGATGCAGGACAAAGAACAAAATTAGACCCGAAAAGCATTCATTGTGTTTTCCTCGATTATCCGGCAAACCAAAAAGGATATATATGTTATCATCCTCCAACAAGGCGTATATATACTTCTCGTGACGTTTTATTTGTGGAAGACATGAGCTATTTCGATGATTACGATTGGGCGGAGTTAGACAATCTTGTAGCCCAAGGCACTGACGACACCGACTCTCTTGGTCAACTTCTCACCACATTTCAACGCCTTGGAATTCAAAGCTCACTAACCCGATCTCATTCATCTGTGGAAATTCATGCAGACGGTATCCCTTATCCTATATCTCTTTCTCTTGATGATTCATTGCCCACTAACCATGCAGAAGTCAACATTCGAACATCATCACCACCATCACATGTTCCATTGTCTGAGGTGGAGGCTGTTGAGGGAGACACGCAACATTCAGATTTAATTCCCTCACCCTTGCCTAATGCCCATGACGATAATGCTCATGACGATATCTCTGTCTCTTTGCCTGACGATGCTCTTTCCCCACTTGGAGAACACCTGGCAGCTCCGGATGCTTCTCCACCCGATGATGTTCCTCTCGAGTATGCTCTGCTCTGTCCTCCCCCGACTCTTCGACGTAGCTCACGCGAACGCCGGCCTACATGGAAATTGAGGGGCCAGAATTCTGCTCAAGCTCAACATGTCGTCGTTGCTCATCCCATTGATAAGTTCTCCTCCCTTCAATACTTTCCATCTAACGAGCAAAGTTTTTTAAGTATCGTTGAACAGAGAGATGAGCCGTCTTGTTACACCAAAGCTAAAGACATTGCTGTTTGGCGGTTGGTTATGGCCGAAGAACTAGCGGCTCTCGAAAAGAACGGAACGTGGGAGATAACAGACCTTCCACCGGGAAAACAAGTGGTTGGATGCAAATGGGTCTTTAAGATCAAGTACCTAAGTGACGGTACCATTGAACGCCACAAAGCCCGTCTCGTCACAAAAGGATATACCCAAACGTACGACGAGGATTACAATGAAACATTTGTCCCGGTCGCCAAACTTCCTACGGTACGCGTCCTTGTATCTTTCGCTGTGAATCTTGATTGGCAGCTTTGGCAAATGGATGTGAAGAATGCTTTTCTCCAAGGGGATCTCGACGAAGAGATCTTTATGA